AAGGAACCCACCCTAAACCCTAAACTTTAGATAAAAAAACGGGCAGCGTTTAGTTGCAAAAAGAATTACATTAATATATTAAGAGGAACTCACCCTAAACCCTAAACTTTAGATAACAAATGGGCAGCATTTAGTTACATAAAGAGTTGAAGAGGAACCCACCCCAAACCCTAAACTCAAGGAACCCGCCCTAAACCCTAATATAAAGGGGAGCATTTAGTTAAATATTTAATTACACAAAGAATTTGAGATACAAAAACAGACAAACCCACCTTAAAGCCTAAACTCTTTTAAACACGGGCAGTGTTTTGTTTCATAAGGAATGAATTTTAACCCTCAGACCAAAGCAGACCAAAGAATTTGACAAAACGAAAGACAAGAGCAGGATCGAAGAAAGACAAGAGTCGTGATGGGTTTGAAAGTGTTGTCTCGACAGTTTCTGATATTTCTCCAGAGTCTTGACAGTTTTGGAAGTTCTTTGAGAGTCTTGAGAGTTTTGAGAGTTTTTCCATATTTGATATATGAGTGGAACTCGCGAATCGTGTCGAAATACTACCTGAAAAGCATTGCTAGCATTCTGGTTCAAACCAAAGTTGTTGGCCCTGTCTGGGCAATAGATTGTTGGCACTTGATGTCGGCGCTCGACGATGCTAGTGCCCCTGAAAAGCCCACGCCAGAGACAGAGGACAAAGATCAAGAGACACAGCTAGAGGCAGAGGAAGTTGAGCAAGAGGACGAGAATCTTCAGGAACAAGCGACAGAAGAGCGACAGACAGAGAATCCAGAAGAGCAGGGCGAAGCACCAAAAAAGAAACCCAAAGGCAAAGCCCAAGCAAAAACAAAGGCAAAGGCAAAAGAAAAGGCTGCCCCAAAGCCCAAAGCCAAGGCAAAGGGAAAGGCAGCCGCCCAGAAAGCAAAACCAAAAGCCAAAGCCAAAGGGAAATCCAAAGCCAAGAAAGGCCAGAAAGACCAGGAAGAAGAGGACGCGCGCGCAGAAGAAGCGAAATTGAAGGAAGTGAAGGAGGAACCAGCAAGTCAGACACCCAAAAGGAAAAGCAAAAAGAGGCCTGCTGCACCAGAGAACGATGGAGACGGCTCTGAGCCTGCTCAGGCCAAGGCCAGGGTCGAGCCAAAGAAGGAGACGAAGGAAGAGAAGAGCACAAAGGCTGAGAAGAGCAAGAAGGAGGAGAAGAGCGCAAAGGAGGATAAGAACACAAAGGACGACAAGAACAAGAAGGACGAGAAGAGCAAGAAAGACGAGTTTTGTGAGCGTTGCTTCGAGAGAGTTTGGAGAGCTTTACTTTGAGAGAGTTTTGAGGGAAATTGTTTGGAGATTTTGGAGAGCTTCGACAGACTCGGCAGGCTTGATGTTTAGTAGGTTTGATTGACCCACGCGCAGCAACTAGAGCGCAAAGGACGATAAGAACACAAAGGAAGAGAAGAGCAAGAAAGACGAGAAGAGCAAGAAAGACGAGAAGAGCAAGAAGGAAGAGAAGAGCAAGAAGGAGGAGAAGAGCCCAAAGGATGATAAGAACACAAAGGAAGAGAAGAGCAAGAAGGAGGAGAAGAGCAAGAAGGATGAGAAGAGCAAGAAGGACGAGAAGAGCAAGAAGGAAGAGAAGAGCAAGAAGGAAACTAAAGACAAGGATGATGATAAGAAGGATAAGAAAAAGAAGATCAACAGAGGGGAGTGGCTCAAGAGCTTCAAAGTTGAGAGTGACGAGGAAGAGGATGAGAAGAAGAAGAAAAACAAGAGCAGGAAGGAAAAGAAGAAAGGGTCCAAGTCCGAGTCTGACAAGTCAAAGAGTGATGGCGAGGCCTTTGTTAGCCTGCGTTGATTCATTTGTCATGGCAGCTGGACTCCTGACTTTGTAGGCAAGCGACAGCTCCAAGAGCGATGATGAGGACAGGCTGGAAAAGGGCAGGAACAAAGCTGCAGCGATGGCCTTTCGCCGATTGTTTCCTTCCCTGCCGGTGGCAGCACAGAATGAATGGAACAAGATTGAAAGCTCAAGCAGGCCGCAAACCACGCACGGCTGTAGTGTCCAGAATGTTTCAATGCGTATTTGAGAGTTTTGACAGTTTGAGAGGGGAGTCTTGAGAGTTTGGAGAGTTTGGCGAGATGTTTTTGCAGAGTTAACTAGTTAATTCTTAAAGTTATTTTTCATATTGTTGGTTTAGCATTTCTGAGAGCTTGTGAATTTGCATGCTGCTGTCCCGCCGATGCTGTTCACTGCGTTGCGTGACACTAAAACTATTTATGCGGTGATGGCAAGGCAGGAGGCGACTGAATGGCTCATGAAGAGGATGAAGAAGTGTAATGGTAAGTGGACCTTCACCCTTTCAGACGAAGGTTCAGTCAGCAAAGACAGGAAGAAGATTGACACAGAAAGGTTCAGTGCAGGACACCGCAGTGTACCAAGATTCATTGCGGTTCAGAAGGCTGGTGGGGAAGCTGGCCTAAAGCAAGCAATTGCTGCTGGCGAGATTGTTCCTGTCAAAGGCCACTCCGGCAAAACTCTCTACCGATGGGAAGAGGAGAGTTCCTCGAAAGGTGGACAGCTAGAGACAATGACGTCCCTGCACACAAGTGATGTTTGCGATGGGCTGGTGATGGATCAGCTTTGGGGAGCTTTGGATTTCGCTGTCTTCGCACCCGAGACGCCTTCTTTCTCCCAGCCTTCGAATCCGGTCAACTGATGCTGCCTCCAATGAATCCTGGAGGAATGAGTTTCGGTGGTGCTGGATGTGGTGCTGGAATGATGGGTGGTTCTGGACTGATGGGTGGTTCTGGAATGATGGGTGGTTCTGGAATGATGGGTGGTGCTGGAATGATGGGTGGTGCTGGAAGTGGCGCTATGTCAACGGATGTAGTGCTGGAATTGCCGCCGCAATATTGGCAGAAACTCGACGAGGCCGGCTTGCGCAAATTGTATATTTGTCAGGCTTGCAGCTGGTGAGTCAGGTGAGACTTTTTTAAGTAAAAGTTTTGAGAGTTATATTATATTTGATTGTTTTCCGAGAGTTCTGAGAGTTTTATGTTTTTATGGTTATAGCTGAGAGTTCTTATTGCTGAGAGTTTTCTTGAGAGTTTTGAGGATTTTGTGTTTTGATGGTTAGCTGAGAGTTCTCATTGCTGAGAGTTTCCGCTACGTATAGTTCTTCGACCATTTTGAGCAGCTCAACTCTGTGACAATTTGCATATTCTGAGAGTAGTCCATATTTGAGGGCGCCTGGCAGCAAGCTGGCGAATGATATGCTCCAAAAGTTGAACATGGCCTATGGAGCAGTCACTGAATCCGTGAGTGTTATGACGCAGATAAAGGTGACGAAGCGCGGTCCAGGCAACATGCCCCTGACACCGCCAAATGCGAAGCAAATGCTCCAGAAGCTGTTCGTGCAGTTGAAAGATCTGCATGAATGCTGCAACGTCGGAAAAGCCGTCGGACGTTCTTGAGCCCCTAAGTTTGTATTGAAAGATGCATAAGATCGTATACTTGTTTTGTATACAGTAGAGTGTAATGGTTGGCTAAAGCAACGTTCGGTGAAATAGATTGGGCTCAGGACAACGCACATACCGCCTACCAAGGTTTATGTCGGAGGAAATACAGTTGAGTTGCGCGCTGACGAATGTGGTTGATGTGTTTATTGAAGGTTGCGGCGTTGCGTTCGTTGAGCGCAAGACGCTCAGTAGTTTGCTTTGGTTTGCAGACTGGTTCAAGCCTGTGGGTTTTGAACATCAGCGTTTGAAAATCACCCTCCTAGGAGGTCATGTCTGGCAAAATCACAGAGGCCAAAGGCTGCCACAACTACAGTACAGTACCACTCAATCTGAATTTCACATGGTCATTGAGTCATGGGGCTGTACTCGATTTGAAAAGGTTTTTGTTCAACAACTCTTCTACCTATAGTCATGGGTAAACGGAAGGCTGCTGCGGAGGCGCCAAGCCACTTGGCGCAATGGTTACTGGAACAAATAGCTTGGGGACACTTAAGTGCGTCGCAAGGCCAGAAGATAGCCTATATGGTTACCAAAGACGTTCCAGGCGCCCACCCCGCGATACAGAAATTTGCGAGGCTAGGTACATCCGGTAGCAATCCGGCGAACACCTGGCGGGACCTGCAGAGGTGGGTCGGCGAGCCGCAATTCCCTCTGCGGCAAGTAGAACTCCCTCTCCAGTTTGGCGTGAAGAAGGTCAAGCAATCTGATGTTTCGATTCTTTGGCCTCACGAGATGTTCGCAGCACTATACACGCGTTATAGAGACGCATGGGCCAGCTACATAAATCCGGATGCGGCTGCTGCATTCTGGAACACAATGGGTTCGACAGAACTTTTCCGCGCGCGCCCTTTGAGCACTGACCCGCGCGACAGAAGCAAGTGTGGCTCCCTTGCGTATATGTGAGGTTTTTAGCGCGTTGTTGTCAATTGTCAGTGCTAGTAGCTGCGCTCGTTGTCAATTGTTTGTGCGTTGTTGTTAAGGTATACCGTTGTCCCTTCACGGTGATGGCGTGCCATGTGTGAACGTGGGCAGTGCCCACAGCAGATCCGTGGAAATTGTTTCGTGGCGGTCCTTGCTTTGCACAAACGCGCCTTGCAGTGAAACGCGCAACTTTTTAGTGTTTTTGTCTTTCTAACTAATCTAATTGTGTGACAGTTGTGAAACTGGAGGCTGTTGACAGCAAGTTTGAGAACTTCGTTGTCAGCTTGATATGGAGCCATATGGTGGCAAAGCAGCAAACCGTCAAAGAGTATTGGAAAGCGCTTGCCTGGTCTCTGGAAAGCTTGTGGCAAGGCAATATTGGCAGAACAGATATAATATTGACCGGGTTGAGACTGCTGACATTTTTGAAAGTTTGAGGAACTCCTTTTGTCAGTGTGAGGGCTTTGAGAGTTTGAGAGGGACGTTTTGAGAGCTTGGAGAGTTACAGTGAGAGTTTTCAAGAGTTTTGAGAGTTTGAGAGGGAAGTTTTGAGAGCTTGGAGAGTTAGTGTTTGAGCCTGCGCGGACTTGAAACTTTTTCAGAGACTTCTGTTGTCAGTGTGAGGGCTTTAAGAGTTTTGACAGTTTGAGACTCTCAGCAAAGTGTTTGGGGCACAATTGTGGTGGACGTTGGGCCACATCCTAGATATTTGGAGGCACCTGGCCACTCTTGGACTGGAAGGGCAATCCGGTGAGGACGCCTTTTGCTGGAACGCCATTGGCAGGAGGCTGGTTTGCCACGATCTGGTTAGTCCAAGCCGACCTAGCCTGGCATCCACAGTGGTTGGGCCTTCCGGGCCACAATGCCAATCTGCCTTGCCAACTCTGCTCCAGTCCAAAGGAAGAAATCTTTGACATATCTCCCACTCAGGTACTCAAGCTGATGAGCAAGGATGAATGGTTAGAGAGGTTTGAGACATCGAGGAGATTTGTGGATTTGTTCACAGTCACCGGGCTGACTGGCCAACATGTGTCCCCGGATTTGATGCACACCAAGTGGTGTGGCGTCGACACATATTTGAACGGCGGGTGTTTGGCCGTTCTCCTGGAGCACAAGTTCGACAACAAGTTGGACGTGTTACTGCCGGCGTTGCAAGAGTATCCAACATTCCATTTTGCAGTTTGTTTGATGGTATTTGAGTCTTAATATGGTTCAATGAAAACGGTATATAGATATATTGTTCAATGTTCTGCCCAGGTATGTGCCCTCCGAGCTGTCGACATTTGTGGCCACTTTGACAACACAGAAATTCCAGAGCACAGACAAAACTTTCCCAGTCCTCAAGGGACGAGCTTACCAATGCAGAGGTTTGACCGAGCCTTTGTTGAATCTGTGGGTTGACCGCATGAGCGGCAGTCGCCAGGATCGACTCCTAAAAATGGTCATGCAAAGATCTGTAGATTTCGATCGAATCATCCGCAATTATGCAATGGCATCGGTGCTGCCAGCTGACGTGTCTTGGACGAGGTTCTAGAGTTTTTTCCTTGGAATTCAAAGTTGAATTTGTAAGAGAGTTATGGAGCATTTTTGGCTGTAGAAACATGATTCGATCCCTAGGCCTCCCAAAGACTGACGAAATGCATGTCAGAGTTCATCCCGCTGTACAAAGAGCTGCAGCTCGCCTGGGAAGGCTTTTTCAATATGACCAAAAAGTGGCACGACCTGTTCCACTTAGCACAGCGGTCATCGGAGGTCAATCCGGCAATCACTTCTTGTATGCTGCAAGAGGATCTCATGGGAAAGATCAAGACTATCGTAAAGCAAAGCGTGCAGGCATCTCGGCAACTGACTGCGACCACGAAAACCATGGTCAAATATCGGCTAGGGATTCACCTGGAGCATTGCAGGGTGTGATATAGGACGACCAAGGTTGGATTTGCAAGAGACTTGGACAAATTGCCACTGGCATGCAACCTCTGGAATGCTCCTGGCGACTTCCAAATGTCATCAGATGCCTCCATGCCTTTTAAAAAGGCATGCTATTCGTCAGATTGTCCCACTTAAGGGCCAAGCAACGAATCTTTTTTGAGCAGTTGCTGGAAAACATGGAGCTCACCTCACGTAGGGCAGGCATATTCATGATGGAACGTGGAACATGACTTTAATTGAACCGCGCTGGCATTTGTTGGTTACTGAGGATGTTTGGAATTGTTTGGAAAGGTTTTTTTGCGTTGAGAGAGTTTGAGAGAGTTTTGAGAGCTTTGCTTTGAGAGAGTTTTGAGGGAATTTGTTTGGAGAGTTCACGGATTTGATTGACCCATTCCGAATAGCCGAGTGAAATTTTGCTCAATATCAGCTGAGCCGCGTAGAGCCAACGTCCTTATAATTGTGATCATGACTGAAACTTCGAGGTTC